CATGTTTTAATACTTTCACAGAATACAAAAAAACTGAAAAACTAAAAACTTTCAGCTTTGATATCTCGACTTTGGGGCACTGTAAGTCAATGAATATAAAACTGAAAATGGCAAAATTATAGTCTAAAATCATATACAAACTCTAAACTACACGTTGAAAAAAACCGCATGTCAATCGGGGTCGAAACAAATGAGATATGCATCTTTTAAACGTTTCACAAAAACCGGTTCCGGCCCTAAAAGTGGTTCCGGTTCCTAACACCGGTTCCGGTTTTTAGACTCGGTTTACCCGGACCCGATGGACCCACACCCGGATTACCCGGAACCCAGATAAAGCCAATTTTTAAATCCGGAACCGGATCCGGTTCTAACGGTTTCGATTCCAGTTGTGGTCCGGTTTTCCGGTTCTAAATCTCATCACTAATTTAAAGGTGGTTTTAACAAACTTTTTTTTTCACGTCTGTAAACACTTTTAAATTCAATTTTTTATAATAAAAATTTGAAAAAACATGTTTTGTTAATATGAAACAATTTCTCATGTATCATCGATTATCATTATGGTAATATAGATTTAAAGGTGGTTTTAACAAACTTTTTTTTCACGTCTGTAAACACTTTTAAATTCAATTTTTTATAATAAAAATTTGAAAAAACATGTTTTGTTAATATGAAACAATTTCTCATGTATCATCGATTATCATTATGGTAATATAGATTTAAAGGTGGTTTTAACAAACTTTTTTTTTCACGTCTGTAAACACTTTTAAATTCAATTTTTTATAATAAAAAATTGAAAAAACATGTTTTGTTAATATGAAACAATTTCTCATGTATCATCGATTATCATTATGGTAATATAGATTTAAAGGTGGTTTTAACAACTTTTTTTTTTCACGTCCTTAACCACTTTTAAAAAATCTTTCAACCACCATGTCGTCATTGTCAACTAGTTCGTCGGATTCGATGACATTAGAAGAAGCAACGTTTACAAGTGACATCATGGCAAAAGCAATCGCGTATTACCAAAACCAAGAGGCTCAAAGTTCAGATTTTAGAACGAGAAGAGATCATTCGAAGAGAAAAAATATTTAAAAAAAAAAAAAAAAAAAAGATGAGGTGAAGTAAAAGGTGCCATGTCCTAGGTTTTGATGAGTGGGTGGAAAATAAGATAATGCTAAGTCAACAAATGAAAGATGAAAGTTGACCATACCCTACAACATAACAAACACATTCTAAAACAAGTTGTATTTCAGATTGATGTCAATATGACAGAAAAAAAAAAATGCAATTTTCTAATCCCACCCAAAAACCAGGACATGCACTCACTCTCAATCTCTCGCTTCTCATAAATGAAAATAGCCTTAATGAGATGTGTTCTAGGAAAGAGCATAATAACTTGCTATCATAGAACTTCCAAATTAAACCACAACAATTTACTTTTAGTAAATATTACACGCAAACTACTTGAATATTTTAATTCTAATCCTAGACATCACTAGATAAATCATGATTCGGGATCTGTAAAGTCCGACAGACTATCCAACATTTGACTTTCAGCAGAAGCAAAAGACTCGGATGTAGTAATTGTTGAGAGAGAAGACGGAGACTCATCAGAATCCGAGATCACTTCATCATGTATTTCATCATCATCATCTTCATCATCATCATCATCATCATCATGTAAGATTATATGGTCTTCATCGATTTCAGAAGCATCAGATCCATCACCTCCCATCAACAGTTTGTTTATTGCAGCCTTTGCAGTTTCAACAAACCATTCATCCTCTGGCAATGCACTGGTGGGATTAAAAAAATTAATTGTATGCAAAAAATAGCAATGTACTTACATTGATTTGTTTATTATAGCAATGTCATCCAAATACAAAAACAACTTTGAATGCTATAACTGAGTATATTTTTCAAAGTAAAATTACTTAAATACCCTTATTACCTTTGTTGGTTTAGACCTCTGCCTGAGAATGTTCTTATAGCACGAGCAATTATAGATGATGCCATTTGGTGCACATTTCTTGAAGGGTAACCAGCAAAACGCGCAATTTCAACAGTGAAGTGCATATCAAGAATCAACTGCAAAAAAAAAAAATGTAGAATTTTTACTCAATATGTTGCTGTTTCTTGCATATAGCCCTTAATTAGTTACCTGTTGCAATCCTTGTGGCTGAAGTTTTGCCACTTCATTTTCTAAAACACCCCAAAAATCCTCTTCATTAGACATCACCCACATCACAACAGTTTCAGTTAGCCTTGCAAGCAACACTTTCTGTATCTTTTCTTTCCCAAGTAACACATCTCCAGCAACTGTTGCTAATTGCTGCAGCTTTCCAAATAATGCCTGCATAAATCCATGTTAACACCACAACTCAAAAGAATGTGACAAAAATGTTTCCATCAATTACAAAATTACCTGGAAGGGCAACGAAGGCAAAGGATCAGAATTCCAATTAAGATCATCACCTTCCCCACATAAATAAATATTTGCATCAGGGCGTGTTTTCCCATCTCTTGAATATATAAAATTCAACACATATTGTCTACAGAAATGATCTCTAAGCTTATCCAGTGAATGCTGAAGCTGCTTTCTCCAGTCCTTATAATCTATCGCATTATTCAATAGAGGGGCAGTATTGTCATTTCCTGCTTCCTTGCTTTCGTTTAAAACACTCCATATTCTTGACATAACCATAGGTAATAGCTCTTCTGCAATGGTGAATGCAGTTCCCAAAAGGGCAAGTTGTTGGGAATCTGTTTCAGCTTTAAAAGGTACTGCTTCTTTTAACTCCACTAAACTGTCATCTTCAGAAGGTTCAGGTAAAGCTTTTATGAGTTCATCCATGTATTGATCAAAAAGTTTTAGAATTCTTGTTAAAATGTTTCCTCCAAAGTGTAAGATGACTAGGCGCGTTAGTTGCTCCACTATATCCTGTAAAAATCATAAACAAGTAATACAATGAAAGTAAATTTCTATAATAAACAAATCAGTGAAAGTACATTGCTATTTCTTGCATTCAAATAAAGTCAACTCACTTTGACCATGAAGATGAAACGGGTCCCACTATCAACAAGCATTCCATCAGAAGATATAGCGAAAGTAGACAAAGGAGAGGCAAGGCGAGGTGACAATGGCAACATTTCATCATTTCCTGAAAAATCAAAAACTAATTTTCTTGCTCTTCTAAAATTCAATTCAAGAACTTCTTCAATATAAGGCTCCAAAAGCACTAAAAGCACTTTTGACAACTTTAGCCCTTGTGATTCCAACACTGAGCAGTGATTCAAACTAGCCTGAACACAAACACTTGCAGCATGTAAAGCTGAAACAGTTTCTGAAGAAGGGGCGTTTTCTTTAACCAATTTCACAAATAATTCAATTTCCCTTTCTGCCCATTGAACAAGTCGGTTGTTGTAAAGTAAATCATCTCCAAATATTGTTCCCATTTCTTTTGTTGTTGATGAGATTGTGGAAAAGATAATGTTGGATAAAGCAGCCGGAAATGTTTCCGGGTAGCACGGGCAGGATGGGAGAAAGATTTGGATGGTTTTTTGAAGTCGGGCAGCTTTTGACTTGAGAAAAAGATTATGTGCAAGAGGACCTTTTCCTAGCTTTAGTAAACCCAAAACTGCTACTTTTAAAGATGATGTCAACAAGTTGATTTTCAATTAAAGATTTTCGTTTTGAAAATTCATTGGATAATGAATCGGATGAGGTTTTAAAGTCAGGGTGTTTTCTTTCTTCTGTTTCTATTGCTTCTATGGCTTCTTCTACTTTATGTTCAGCTAGAAGAAGGTCTATATTTTCTAAAGATGATCTTTTTTCATCTTGTGATTCATTTGGGAAGTCGAATTCGGTGTCTTTTTGAAGTTTCTCAGTGTTGTTGGCTTTACTCCATTCGCTCAGTTCATGGTGGACCCCACTTAGTAAGTCTTGTACGAGGATTCCTTGTGCAGAGATGTTCTTTCTTAGGTCGTTGAGTTCATGCTCCATTTCCACAACCTCATCGGATAGCCTTTAAATAAGTGGAAATTAGAATAAATGCTTAAAAGATTTGGAATTTATGTTAAGATGTGTTTAAGATAAGAGGGAAAAAGAGAGAAACAAAGGGGAAGTGAGGGAATATTACCTCAGAAAAGCTAAGTACTTGGATTGAGTGTTGCCACATAAATTCTCTACTGCATCCTTCAAATCAAGAAGCTCAAAACAGAGCTTTCTAATGCCCTGCAAATAAAAGAAACATGTATCCAATTACATAACTGTATAAAGAAAAATGTATATTTCAAATTGTAAACATTCACAAAACAAACAATTATTACTTAAACAATATAATTTTTCATACATGTAACATACTTGAACCGAGTAATTCAGCAAAGATTTGAAACCTTGTTTACAATTCAAGCATCAAGGAGAGAAACTTACAAAAATCAAACTGTACAAACTCACCAGAGCTATTCATATTAATCAGATTTGTTTCCATGTAATTAATAATGTATTGTTTCCTACTTCCTAGATGGATTAATAACCGAATATGCTAAGCATTCAGAAGAACTTGGATCTTACAAGTGGTGGTCTGAAAATAAGATATGGTCTGTTTATAAACTACAATGGCATGTGATTGATCTTTATATTAAAAAAATACAGACAAATTCATCGTTTAACTTTACTATGATTCTTGAATATATACATATCCTGCTTCTGTCCTTGAGGAGTACCACCTTTAAGTGGTGCACAGATGTGATACCTATTTGCCTCTTAAACTCCTAAAGGAAGTTTTACATATTTATAACAGCATTTAAGATTCCAAAAATCAGAAATTTAGTAGGAAACTCAATCAGTACAATGCCAAAGGACTTCACAAATCTACCCAGAGCTTCACATATATACGCATAAGAACTATTAATCCTTCAAAAATAATTGCGCTTGAGATACAATAATGATGCATAAATATAATGTAATAATCCTACGATCAGAATCAACTCGAGGCTTCTAAAATTAAAACCTAACTTACTCACAATTCAAGTATTAACATAAGATTTCTCCGTTTTTAGGTTTCCTTTAGTCGTTTTAACGCATTTGACTGTAACAATTCTAACAGCTTGTGAACTTACAAGGAAACACTTAAAAAAAGGTGAAAATACGTAAGAATAATGATTCACAGACAAGGATTTGATACCTTTTCGGTTTTAGATTGAAAGATGGTGTCGATCTTGGATTGTGGAGTGACCGATTCAATAGATGGGAAATCGTCTTCTTCTTCGCTGCTGTCCATTTCCAGTTCTGTTTTGACGAAACTCAACTTCAGTTGCGTCCTACACTCCTACTCCACAACGGCTGTTGTAACTTTACTGATGCTTTTCTTTTCTGCAGCTTTCGATTTCAACTTTCGGTTCCAGTGGTCCATGGAATGGACTTAGGTCTTTTCTCTCGAACCCGACCATTTTCCCAACAATTTACGGGATCATGTATTGTATGCTATTGTTTTTTCGATATGATTTGTATTTTTGTTGTAAATAAATATATTGTTACTATTAATTAAGAAATAATAAATTTTATTTCAAATTAATATAAAAATAACTATTTTGTGGTAATAACTGCTTCGTTGTCTAGATTAGGGATGAAAGTGGTCCAACCCGGACCGGATGACCCAGACCCGGAAACCGGCATTGATGGATTATAAGAACCGAGAACCGGACCGGTATACGGTAACCGGTTCCGGTTCGGTTCCGGGTATCGGACCGGATAAAATGGGTATGGAACCGGAAATTGATAATTGGAACCGGAATTATGTATTAGACCCAAAAATAGCTAGAAACCCGGAAGTGAAACCGGAAACCCGGACTAGTGATTGTGATACTCATGGAAAATCAAAGAAAAAATAATTTGTGAACCTATCTTATTATCAAATTATTATAAAATAAACTTCAAATTTATCATTTATGTGGTTTTGAAAAACATAATTTATTTTTCTGTACTGTTTTTTTACCATATCTTTCTTATTTTTAAAATGAGACAAATATGTATAAACTAGTCCATTTTTGTGATTTTCAAACATAAATAAACCATGAACCAATAACTATGTCATATGTTATATGTTGCTATATAATAAAAGGTAATTAGATCCTAAAACCAATATATGTGAAGGTTTTTTACTACTAAAGTTTTAGTTTTCTTCCGTCCAGATATTTCTATGAAACCAAAATAACTTTTATCCAGTTATCTGTTTAGTATGTAAAACATAGTTTTTTTCTTCTTTCAGTTTCTTTGTTAACTAGTTGAAAAAGTCCACTTATCAAACACTTATTTTTCACATGTGAAAACCCTTTCCAATTATCTACATCTTTTTTTAATTTATTTGTTTTTTTATGTACATGTTTTGTTTTAATAAAACACTAGATTATAACTCGCGTTAAACGCGGAGGAACGCATAAAAAAAATACAAACGTCTTTGGAATTTACTATTTAAATATTATTATTATTTTTTTTAATTTCGAAGTATACTTTGTTATTTTAGGGTTATGTTCCGAAATATATAATTTTATTGAATTCTAAAAACTATAAAAAAAATTATTAACAAAAAATAATAACATGAACAATTTTTGTTATTTATAGCAACATACTTTCAAACTACGTTGTTATTTTTGCTCATTTATGTTATCAACATGTGTATTACATAAATTTTAACCTATAAATGGATCTTAAAATTATATTATGTTCTATAGGGCATAATTATATTAAATGTCCTAACATACATAACATATATCAAATATTAAAATAAAAGTATATATTAATTTAAAATAATTAGTATAACAGTCTAAAAAAACT